ACACCTGTAAAGGACATGAGCTGGGAGCAACTTCAGACTGCAATACAGGTCTTGTCTGACACCTGTGAAAAGGAGGGAAGGAAAGATTGGGTAGAAAGAACTTTAGACTTCAGTGAAGTTCTTGTGAAGTCTTCCCAGGTTAATAGGGAGTTCCCGAGCAAAGGTTTCCCATTAGAGGAATCCCACTTTGGACAGGGATCATCTGGCTCAAATACCACTGCTGTGCTCAGTAACTGGAGAGAAGCATGTCCTTGGTGTAAATACATGAATCCAAAGGTGTAGAAGGTGGAGGCTGACAGTTAACTATGCTTCCTACAGAAGCTTCTCTTAAAGGTAGACCTGAACAGTGCACTCTCATGGTTGCTACACTGTACATTCCAGAGAGGAAGTGGTCCTATGTAATGGCACTTTCAACCAGATAGTCTTCTCCTGGAATGGTGCCATATCAGGGGCTCGGTATTGGTCTCTACTGCTGGCAGGTTAGACAGTCAGCAATGGCCGCAGCTAGGTCAGCCTGGAGGAAAAGGAGCCCTGCACAGTCTTTGCATTAGTTATCTATTGCTGCATAACAAAGTACCTCAAAAGTTAGTGTCTTAAAACAACAAACATTTATTATCTCACCCTCCGTATGAAGCCACTGACAAAGGGTTCTGCTAGCAGCTTTGCAGCAGGAGGAAGATTTCTCTTTCCAAGTGTCCTTTAGGGCAACCTCTAACTGGGCTATTGTGCAGCAGCAGTCCCTATATAGTCAACATCCACTTACTGTACTGACCCATCTGTAGGTGAGATCCACATTTTCTTTCTCCATTACAAAACTTTGGTTGAAGGGAATCTCCAGGGAAGCCGTAGAGTTGAGGGAGATGTGTTGGGGAAACTAACAGAATTAGATGTCCTAGGAATTTACAGGTGACTTCTGGATCTGCCCAGGCTCAATCCCAGATGTACCATTTTTGCACAATGGATTACTATTATGCCCACCCATAATGAATCTGATAACACTCCTCTGATAATTGGTGGCTTTGTCCCTTTAGTTTCTGGGTGGCACATTATCAATTCTCAGTCTCTCCTAGGGCCCAGAGTGTCTCTGGGGTTGTCTTTCAAAAAGTGAGTATTTCTCTACCACAACAGGCATGACCTATATGCTTTTCTCCTCTTCGGGTTTACCAGAGACTTCACACAGTATCCTTAGCCACAAGATGCATCAACATCATTGAATCTACTGGTTCGTATGCCCTGAATAGCAGGGGAGCTTGTCCTGCAGCCCAAACTGGATGCAGAACCCCACTCTTGCTCAGTCCCCCCTCAAAGCTGCTGTGTTCTGCTTCATTTGATTAATCTGCCAGAATAGTATTCCCAAGTGCAGCGTATTACTACCCCACTTACTTGGAAAGTGATTCCGAGGCCAGGAGTGAGCAATGGATAAATGGAACAGGGAAAGAAGAAAAGGAAATTCAAGCGTGGATTATTGAGTTTGTCAGTTGCTACAGGTGACTGGTATTTGGTTCCATGGGATCAACTGAAGAGTTTTCTGAAATATGTCTACTGCATGGAGACCTAAGAGGGGGAGCATTTGAAGTACTGGGTTGTGCACACATGTGTCCTGAGAAGTTTCCCATGCCTGTCTCCTGTCTCTGTGGGGCTCTGGCCTATGCCTGAAGCAAGGCACTTCCAGATTGCAGTCCTGCAATGCTGGTCAAAGCCTGAGTGTGGACTAGGTGCCACTGCAGTGGCTCCAGTTGGAGGGAGGGCCAAGAGAATTTGAAAAAATGTACAAGTAGCAGTGAAGAAAGTGGATCTTCTAGATCTCTTCAGAAGGGGTGCAATTCTTAATGATGAAGGAAACATTTCAAGTCTTACCAGCACCCAGAGGTAATTATCAGAGACATTTCACAAAAATATACTTGTCCCAATAGCACTTCTTGATTTAAGTTATTTCTCCAGGGATGTCTTCTCCAGCTGGCCACCCGGTTTTATTCAACGGAAGTACAGCATCAGAGCAACTGCGCGTTAGCCCTGTATAAGTCTCAGTGCATGCAGGTTGTCTCAGAGTTCCAGGAAGGTAAAGACATGACCAGTCTTTTGTGTCAAAATTAGAAATCTGTCTCAGTCCCGTATTTGACTTTTCTTTAACTCAGAAAATACTTAGTATGCATCTCCTAAGAACTAGGCATTGAGCTTGTGCTGAGGAGACTAAGCTGAACGTATTGTGGCCTCTAATCTTGAGGAGCTTGGAGTCAATTGGGAGAGAATGGCATGGAGAGATGGCAAGATGAGTTCATAGCTCTGTAAGCATATGGGGAAAACAACTTGTTGTTTGTGAGACGATCTGCAGTGAAAAATATTACCACAACCCTCCAAGATTAGCAAGGGAAGAATTGCCACTCAGGGAGGAGATAACTACACTTTCCTCTTCTTGCTCTGACAGATTCTCCCAGTTTGGGGGCATCTCTTCAACCCTCAATCTCAAATGCTGATAAATGTATCCCTTACAGAGTCGCCTATGGATTCTTTCCTATAGTTCACCTAAGTCCCAGGCTGGAACATTTGAAAACAACTCAATTAAGATTTAAGGATAACAGAACAGAAGGATGCCAAACAGTGAGAAATGCAGTTTACATAGTTTATATTTCTCTTCTTTTACTTCCTTCCTTTTTTTTTTTTTTTAAAGCAGCCTGGCTTGGAGCCCAACACGGGACTTGAATTCACGACGCCGAGATCAAGACATGAGCTGAGATCAAGAGTTGGATGCCCAACTGACTGAGCCATTCAGGTGCCGCATCATGTACATTCCTATATTCATATGAATGTGCATCCTACTGTGTTCTTAGTTTCCTGTGTAGGGCCTCATTTCCAGATAACTTATTTATTTAATGAATGCTTTCTATGGGGCTTAATAAGTACCAGCACTGTCCTAAGCACTTTACAAATGTTAACTTATTTTAAGCTTTATAACAACCTGATGAGGTCGGTATTATTATCACCCACATTTTAAAGAGGAAACAACTGGGGCATAGAGAGGTTAGTAACTTGTCCAGTTTTACACAGTTAGTAAGAAGCAGAGCTATGATGTGACCTTAGGCAGTCAGGGCCAGAGCTCATGCTCTTAACCACTACTATAAACTCCTGACTCTGGGAACAATTTCATCTGATTCTCTATCCTTAAGGGTGGGGCCAAACTCCATGATCTTAACACATAGCCTCAAGTATACAATATAATATATACAGACCCAGATAAACCCACACTGTCCTTGAGGGCCTGGGCATGGGCCTGGGTACACACAGTAGCAGCATCTGTCTTTGGGTTATAGTAATTACTGGTTTACAATAAAGTCACAGATAATACAAAATCATTAAAATAAAGAAATAAAAGGACAAAAGGGTAGAGATGGGGTTGGGGGTTGGAAAAGACAGTTGGTGTTTACATCGGAAAACCTAGGCTGAGGGAAAATCCTGCAAATCAGTGTACGACTTAGCTCTGAAATTCTGGAAATCAAGGAAAAAGAATATGACGAGTACATGGCTTTTATTGCCTGACTGAAGAAAGATCCTTGACAGTAGCAAGAGCCCTAGCTGCACAATCTTTTGGTTTGTGGGTTTGGCTGCTGTTGTTTCTTTGCCTTAAAAGGGCTCCCAGTAACTTTATATTAATGATCTACTAGATTTCTAACTGTAGCATTTTGCTTTGGTGACTCTGCTGTCTTTTTGTTTTGTTTTGGAACCCCATCCTTGCCCCTCCACCAGTATGTCATAAATTTGCTGTGTCACTTGAATTGTATTTCAGTGTGCCAGCCAGTCGGATGACATTATTTATTGAATTTTAGCATCTGCTGTGTATGGAACCTGGGTCTTAAAGGATTTTCAAACAATAGTTTTTAAAAGAAATATACTAAAAATAAAATTTAATATTGGGTGATTCGAAAGCATTCAGGCAGCAATGAATAGGCAGGGGTCAGTTATGGTAGACTTTCTCCAGAAGGTGGGTTTTGATCCTGGATTTAAACTAAGGGTCTTGGACTGGCAGGGGTGGAAGAGTGTTCCAGAGCTAACCATGACAGCCAGAATGAGGAAATCAAGTGTAGAGAATGGAAAAGACAATCAGGTAGATGTCTTTGAAAGATGACACCAAGAAATAAGAAAACAAAGGAGGTTCTGCTCTGCATCCTTTGGCGGACTCCATCAGGAAGAGGCTGACTGAAGGTACCCTTCATTTTATGCAACAGACACAATGCTTGAAAGTATAAAATAAGTCAAAAGTGGAGCGTCTATTGTGCATCAGGCACTGAGATTTAATTTTCATATCTACTCTGTAAAGTGGGAATTATTTTCATTTTGCACACAAGGCAGTGGGCTCAGCAGTGAGGTTAAGTGGCCCATGTGCCCAGTGTTGTCTAATATACGGTGGAACCTCCAAAGTCAGTCAGTTTGTGTGACCACGAAGCCCAAGCTTTTGTATGCCACATACATTTTTGTAAGTTGAATATTGAAGATAAGCAAGTGGTGATGATTATTTGAATAAGTCTTAGAGTCATTTCCTCTGCGATTTACATGTCTACAAACATGTTTTGCAAAGGTCCGAGGTAGAGATTTTCTTGACTGAGTGCATGGTATTAGTTTATTTCATTAAACATACATTACTTTGCCCCATTTGACACCAGATAATGACACCGAAAATATCCTTAATACAATTTTTAGGTCATTCCGTCCATTAGGCAGATAATTTCGCAGAGCAGTGTCATAGCCAAACCAATCTACCGGGGAAGATAACTGAAGTTTCCCACAACGCCCAGGCTGTGGAGACCGGGAAAAGTGTAACTTGTGTCCACACTAAAAGAAAGCCTGTTCAAACACTAAAAGGAAGTCTGTCCGAGTGAGACAAGGGCAGGATCCACGAGGGGGAAAGTGGGTGGAGGCGGATGACAGCAGGCGCGTGTAGTGACCCGCCCTGGGCCCGCGACCCTCCGACCCCGCCCATCGGTGTGGCCCGACAGCACGGCCGCGCCGGGGTCTGCGCATGCGCGCGGGGCCGCGGCGACTACGCCGACACTACCGCCTTCTACGCGCCTTCTTCCTCCACGCTTATCCTTGCTCTCCACCCCTCCTTCCCGCGGCGCTCGAGGGATCATGGCTGATCCTCGCGTGAGGCAGATCAAGATCAAAACCGGCGTGGTGAAGCGGTAAGGAGCCGTGAGCGGCGTACACGCCGCCTCCTCTCCTTCGCCTTATGGCGGTCCGGGAGGCTGGGCGGAGCGCAGGCCCAAAGCGGGCTCCGGACTCCAGGCCTCACTTGGGGCTCCGCGGCCGGGACGCGGCGGGGACGCGTCGGTGCCTGAGCCCGCGGCCCGGGACACCCCCCCACCCCCGGCCGTCTTTCTTCTGGAGAACCGAACCGTTGGGCGGCGGGGGTCGGCGCGGCCCCGCCCCTCGGGCGCCTGCGGTAGGGGAGACCGGGGAGCGGCGGCCGGGGAGGTGGAGGGGCGGCGGCCCGGAGCCGGAGAGGGCTCCGTTTGGGGTCGTACCTCCGGGGTGCGCTCACCGCGGGTCTCCCTGCCCATCTTGACTGGTGGGAGGCGGATTCAGTTCATTACGTGCCCTCAGATGGATGCGCAAGCCCGCTCTGAAGTTTAGAGGGGACGCCGAGAGCCCGGCCCTCAAAAATGAGGCCTTGTTGGGGCCCTGTGATCTAACATGGCAAGCGGGACTCCCAGTCTCTAAGAACTTGCAGCACATTCATCAAACTTCTGTGGCCTCTCCCTCCCCTCCGTCAGTTTCCCGGAAGTACGCCCCAGAGACTGGGGGATGCTGTTTAAATAACTATCCTGGGTAGGCCAGTCCTGTAATTGGCCATAATTCTGAGTGCTTTTGGACACTTCAGTACTGATTAGATTTTTATGCTTCAGATCCAGGAACATCAAACTTTTTGATGAGGGATTCTCGGAGAAAAGATAAACAGCCCCCAGAAGAAGCAGGCTATTTTGCAGTAGAAGTAAATGTCTAATCCTAGCCGTCTGGCTTCTTCCTCTTTGCCCACCTTTCCTCCCTTTGTTATTTCCACCGGAGGAAGGACAAGGCAAAGGGAAGAATAAATTCACTTACTAAGGTACTGCCTCTGAGGATTGCACTGTACTTTCCTAGAAGCTTTATTGTTACGACAGTAGGAAGATTCCGTGAGTAGTAGTTAAATGAACAGCCTTTCCCCCAAGTGAGACTGGGTTCAAATCTTGATTCTGCCATTTTTATGTGTTGCAGAATACCTTACATTGCACCGTGCCTCAGTTACCTCATCTGTAAAATGGTTAGTAGCCATCTCATGCAGTTCTTGCAAGAAATGCCTGCTGTGCTTTTTAACACAGTATGTGGCAAATAGTTAAGTGGCTAGTAAATATTAATAGTATTGTTTGTGTACCTGTTTTACAAATGAGAAGCTGAGGTTTAATGAACTTAAAGTAGAAAAACTAAACTCATACTAACTAAAACTAACATGCTGTCTCATGGCAGGACAGGGAAAAGAACCCAAGTTTCTGATCTACAACTGTTTAAGCTGCAATGCTCTAAAAAAGAGTATTTTTAAAAATGTGTGAAATAGGGGAATTGACATGTGTAATTGAAAATATAAATAATTTGCACTATCACTCACCCTAGAATTCTGTTGTTCACTTTTGTTTATGTAATTTTAATAGATCTATTTGGCAGAAGTACCAGGGTATCACGGAGAGTGCTTTAGGCCAAAAGTCATGAGAAATGACTCCTGATGATAGTTTTCTATTAATTACCTGTATGATCTTGTCATTTCTCATCCTAATGATCTACACTAGTTTATAAAATTAGTTCCAGTAGTCATATGATTATAATACATATTCTAGAGAAAACACACCCATTTAAATAATTAATAAGCTAAGTTTTTAGGCTTTCAAAAATTGTCAAGTGCATATGGAAATGGCTTGGAAATAAAGTTTGGTTTTCAGTTTATTTCAATAGAGCATTATCAAACTTTAATTTTGACTCTTTGTACTTCAGTACAAAAAATTTACCATTTTTGTGAAACCCCTTCATAATTTACTATTTACTTAAAATTTACATATTTACTCAAATTGCTTATAAATTACTGGAAATGTCTGCCACAGATTTTTTTCATGGTTTTTCTAAGGACATTTTGGTGTAGAGCTTCCCCATTTGTAGTAAAAGGGGATACGTTCTTTAAAAAACCTAAAATTTCTATTTTAACTGTTTATTATTTATATTTTACCTTGGTAGACAACCATCTAAATCCATAAATATTGTTCCCTGTCTCTCTTCTGTTATTTTTTGCCAGAAAGTTATTTTGCTATGATTCCATCTTTTGCCTTAGTGTCCTATTTTTTAAATTCTACATTTTACTTCAGCAAAGAGAAAAGTAGATAACGCAAGATACACCAGTAACATATTAATAATTGTTAGGGCGGAATGATCATGGGCTTCATTATGTTCTTCTCTGTATATGTTTAAAATTTTTCATAATAAAAAGGTCTTCAAAGGTATGCATTTCTCTCCTCTCCAAATTTAGTTTCAAAGGCTTCTTGATTAGTTTCATGATTCAGACATGTTCTTGGTTTTGTGAACAGGGTTCTGTTCAGTGGTTTCTTAAAGCAATGGGCTAAAAACCAATTTCTGTTCTTTTTTCTAGCCAGATGTTCATTTCCCATAGCCTCATTTCTCTTCAGAAGTCACAACTTTTATTTGAAAGAAGACATTTAAAGTCATCAATTCCTGTCTCCAGTTATTTCAGTTTTTCTCTCCAGGAGTTGAGAGCCATTAGAATTATATTCTAGTTATTAGTTCTAGAGTTCAGTTTGGGTGGCTTTCCTAGGGAGGGTGAATTCTTAGAGTTTTGTGTCAAATCAATCTGCTAGAATACTTCAGGGATCCAGAAGTTCCCTGTAGTGGGTTTTAGTAAGAAATCTGAGCAGGGATGTGGAAAGTTATAAGAGTATTGGAAATAGGCAATAAGTAGATGATGGTATTTGGCAACAGAGAGATCAATGAATAAAAGATGTGAGTCTCAACGTGTTGGCAGAATGGTGAAGGCAGTCCAGTGATGGCAGTCACATTAGACAGGAAAGTAGAAGCAAGTTTCAAGGGTTTTAGGATAGGCCCTAAGGAAATAGGCAGAAGCCTTACAGTCTAGGGAGACCTAAAGAAACTTTGTTATCTCATATGGTAACAAAGGGAAAGGATCAGATTGCTGGAAATAGGTTTTGAGAAAGAAGTTAGAACCCTAGAAACAAGGAAAGAGTCCAGTTACTAAGAATGGCTTGTAAGAGTTGGACAGCAAAGAGGCTAACTTGGTACTGAACCTCTCAAGGGCTCCTTAAATATCCCCTTCCCAGTAACAGGATTGTTTTTCCAGAGCTAATTATGGCTGTGAGAGATGTGTGCAGTTTCTTCAAGCAGCAGCCTTTTCACATGTGACTCATTATTTAATGAGTTTTAGTTGGTGGGTTCGGGTCTGGCACCAAGATCCATGTTTCAGACTTTTGCTAGACCTATTGGTATCTGTCACTGGGTCACAGCTAATGTAGCAGCCTAGCAGGGAGTTATCAAATATCACTCCCAATTTTCGTTTTCTCCAGTGCATAACTGAAAATCCCCCCCTCTCTTTTTTTGATATCTTGGTGGCATCAGTTGTCCCAGTTTACCTGGGACTGAGGGGTTTCTAAGATGTAGACTCTTCGGTCCTAACACTGGGAAAGTCTCAGGCAAACCAGGATGATTTGTATTAGTACTTCTGCTGTAACTAGCTAACATACCACTGTTTTGTGTGCCATGATTTATTTGGAGGCTATTTGCTGATAATACAACTGTGAATTGATTGTTGTACCTTACTTAAATTAAAACTTAACTGTGTCCTATAAATATGAATCCTTGCCAGAGTAGTTTTCTGTATCAATTTAAATTGTTAGTGATTTAGAAAATAACTTCTTTAAAGTAGAAGAAAATCGAGGCTCGATGTTTTAAATGTTGATATGGTATTTCAGCTTAATGATCTATGTCTACTGTAAATTCCCAAGTAAGATTTGTGTTTATAAGTTTTTTTTACTAGATTTATGGTAAGTACAAGAAATACTTCTGCAAAAACAAAATGTTATGCATTTAACATAAAAGTTTATTTAATAACCTTAAAGCCAACTTATTTTCAATAAAGCTTGCTAAACTAGCCCACTGGTGAGTGAATTAACTGATTAAAAATACTTTCTTAAATATATCTTTTTTATAACCATTTTAGATTGGTAATGGTTTAAAATCCAACATGAACAAAGAATGTTAGGGCATTGGAAATAGCACTGACATTGGCCCACAGTTTTCCTCTGATTAAATGAAAGTGACACCAGTAGATTAGAATGAGACTAGGACAATTCACACTGCAATTGTGTTAGTTTAACTTTAACAATCTTTTAACACTCTTGTTTAAATGTAGCTGACATACCATAATTACAAATCTACAAGCCTTGATTATAGAATTTTACATCATGAATCAGTGGGGAAATTGTATTGATTTTTTTTTTTTTTAAGCAAGCACCTTTCCCAAACGGTGGCATCTTCCCAAATAAGTTTATACCTTTACCTCTGATATACAACTGTGTATGATATATATACTATGTATAGCAGACATAATAACAACATAAAAGTTAAGTAAAATTTCCATGTTAATAAATATATATTCATATATAATGTATATAATATACTATATTGACATACATTGTGTATGTATACTGAATGTATTTATTGTACTGACATAAAAGTGAAAAATAGGAATGACGCATAGGTTTGCATAGACATAGATACAGTTTTTCCCCTGTAGCTTTAGTTGTTTATATACTTCTTATATTTAAAGTAAAAATGGATAGAAGTGTGGTGGGCAGTATCTGGGAGAGGTTAAGGACATAGCCCTGAAAATTTCCTGTAAGGTTTAGTAGCTTTTTTATCTTTTCTCCCACATCATACCCCTTTGATTTGAGTTAAAGTAAGTTCAGCCAAAATGGCCAACTTCCTCCCTTGAAATTTAGCCAACTCCTTTTGGAATTTCTGTAATGTATTCAGTTCTCTAAAGCGATGGTCAAAGGCAGTGTCAGAATGGATTACAGGTGGTCAGCTCTTCACCACCTTCTGCCAAGTACTTGGCAAGCAGTGACTTTTAGAG